AAATGTTCACCAGCCGACATTAGCCAAAACTATCCCAGAAAGGCAATATAGGATCCCAGCGGTTCTCTGAACCAGGGTGCTTTGGCATAGGAAAGGTCCTTGGAGATACTTTGTCCAATTCCCTCTCTTCACTCCTAAAACAACTACAGTTTAAAATGGGGTTTAGCTTGTTCAGAGTCCTACAGTCAGTTAGCGGCAGAGTCAAGATCGGAACATAGGGCTTCTTACAACATTTTTTTCATCATCTTCCCTCTCTTCTCTGCCTCTTCAGCCTTTCATCTCTGGCTGGAGAATTGGTGATTAGAGTTGTCTGTTTCCTTGTGGTTTCACTTAACTTGTACTCCCATCCCCTGTATTTTCTGTATACTGAAAGTGAAGTCTAGTGGCTTGATTAGGCTCGAGTTCAGTATTCTGGCAAAAATACTTCACATATGATATTGTATATTTTGGATCACATCACAAGAAAAGGCACTTAATGTCAGTATGTCTCACTGCTCATTATGCTAACTTTGATCATTTGATTGAGGTGGTGACTGCCTAGTCTCTCCAATGAAATTAGAACAATATGTCTTTCTCTTTGCAATTGGTAGGTAATCTGTAATATTATATTTTGGCACCATGCAAATATCCTGACCCCCAACTACCTTTTACCTAATAGTTTACGCAGCCATTGATGATCCTTGCTCAAATCAGTTGTTAGAAGGAGGAAGGGGTCCTGCAAAATGGTGATTTTTCTAAATCTATCCTTCCTTCTCTGATAAAGAAGAATCTCTTTCTTTCTCATATACACACATACACACACACACACACACACACACACATACCCCTTCTCCTTATACTACCATGAACACATGGCTTTACTTATTCAATGTGTTCAATATATTATAACCAATTTTACAATTATTATTCTTTTGGGCACTCATCCTAACCCTATCCTAACCATACTCTAATTTTCTTTGTTTTTTTTTATTTCCTTTTTTACTGCTATTTTGTGGCATTTTAGGATCGGAGTAACCCTATGCCTAACACTAAGCCTTATGTTAATTGTCTTTCTTATTGCTATCTTTGTAAGGTTTGAGGATCAAAGTAACCCTTACCCTAATCCTAACTTTATTCTTTTATTGCTGTCTTTGTGAGGTTTGAGGATCAGACCAACAGGCTATTAATCCTCTGTGTGCACAATCTGTGTTGTGCTGTTCCCTCTGCGTTACCTGGCTGACTGCTATTCTTTATTCAAATCTCAAGTGCCATCTTCTCCAGGATCGCTTCCCATTCCCCTCACTCCTTTCTATTCTCTTGGATTCCAACCACACTCTGTTTAATATCTGAGTATCAGAGCACTCAGCATATTCTAGAGAAATTATGTTTGTAGTTGGGAGGGGAAGGAGAGCCAGGTCCTACCACTTCCAGGTGTGATAACTGTGCCCTCGACCAGGTAGGGACCTCAGGACTACATTGCTGTAGCTCCCTCACATTATGTCCTTCCCAGCCTCACATATGAAACGAGAAGCCAAGGAAAAGAATTCTTACAGATGTTATCCATTATGCCCAGACACTATGCAAGGCCCTAAACACTATCTTATTAATTCTCAGTAAAACGACACCAGTGTGTCATTTCTACTTTTGGGAGAAGTAACCGATGTTTAGAGTGTACCTTGCCTGTGGTCACAGTCAATAAGGGACAGAGCCCAGATTTAAATCTTGAGCTAACTGTATCGTGCCATGCTACTTTGATGTAACTTCTGTAGTGATGACCACATATCAGTAACATCCAAGGTTTGGGCATTAATATTTCTTAAAAGCATCCCAGATTATTCTAACCTGCAGCCAGGGTTGAGAATTACTTTTCCCTTGAAAATCTCTAAGATCTAAGTTTGAGGATTCCAGATACTTCTGGATTCTCTTATTCCTGTGCAATTGTATTAACTTCCTTCTTTGCTTCCAGACTGTACCCACTTCCTGCTCTGCATTTCATTCTCTACACACCTCCACTGATAATTATTTTACTTCTCTGCTCCACAACCTTTTTGATAATATGATATGAACTGTGAAGCCTTGTGCATACAAAATTGGACATTTACGAGAAATTTCATATATAATTTGGGAGGTTTGTGGACCCTAGTTGAAAAGTCCCTCTCCTACAGAATAAGTTCCCAATTTTTAACATGGTAGTTATGAATCTTGATTTATGATCTGGCTCCAAACTATCTTCCCAGTCTCATCTCCTACTTGCAGTCTTTCATATCCCCAGTCACACACACACCCTACACTCCAACTACACTGTGCTATTTGTCATTTTTCTAACATAACTACACTTTCAAGCTTCTGGATTCTTGGATCGTGCTATTCCCATTGACTGGAATATTCCATTCCCTCTTCTATACTAGATGAGCTGCTTCTCTGTTTCAGCTATCCTGGCCTTCTTAGTCATCAAATGGGCTAAGTTCATTCAACTTCTGGCTCTTGAACTTTCTGTTCTCTTTACTGTACTTTAAATGATTTTGCCCTAGATCTTCAATGACTGGCTACATTTCATTATTCAGGTCTCAGGTTAAGTATCACCTTGCCAAGAGACCTTCTCTTATCACACTATCCAAAGTATCTGTCCCCCATGCTCCACCCCTACCAGTTTAATCTGTATCCTGTTTTATTTTCTTTCAACATTTATAATTCTCCGAAATTTCTGGCTTTTCTTTTTTAATTATCTCTATCCTTCCAATAGTGTGCAACCCCCTTAAGAGGAGAGACTTGATCTTGTTTGCACCATGTCCCTAGCACCTACGACAGTGCGTGGCATAGATTTGTGCTCCACATTTGTTGAATGAGCACATTAATCTTCCATACACTGCCCAAATGCCATCTTCTCCAAATCCCCAGTGATCTCTCCATATCCTTGTCAAAATGCTTCTTCTGTCCTCCGGGAATCAGAGCCATGACTTATTTGTCTCTGTATTTTCAGTTCCCAACATAGTATGTTGAGCTTAGTGTGTTTTTGCCCCTCCCCAATATTTGAAAATGTTCATTTTCTGAGGGAAGAACTTAGCATGTGCTCAAAAATCATAAATGTAGGTAAAAGTTTAGAGCAGAGAAGGCCGAGGATGATGCCTATTTGAGTAGAGGTCTTTTCAAAGTAAAATGAATAGTATAAAAACTGACAGTGCATGTGTGGTCAAAATGCTTTATCAGTAGTATCCATGACTTTGACCGGTATTTAATTTAATTTTCAAAACTGAATCAACTTAATAGAATAACTTTTTCTTCATAGTTAACATTCCAACTGATACTATTCACTACCACAAATAATTAGGGATTTAAAACAGATGCAAATTCATATTATAATATATTGCATGGCTCTGCCATTTACTAGCTATGTGACTTTGGGCAAGTTATTCAATTCCTCTGAACTTCAGTTTCCTCCTGTATAAATGAGGGTTTGAAAAAATCATTGAATGAAATACCTAATTAAACACCTAGTACTATTGCTGACTCAGAGTAAGAAGCTCAACAAATATTAGTTTCCTCTCTGCCACATTCAACAAATTGGAAAGCAAACCCACATCTCTCTCCTAATCCTCCTTTTTTTCACTTTTTTTTGATGAACCCAGAGAAATCTGGTCTTAGCAGATCTTTGTCCTGAAGTGGAATCACATGTGTATATTTGGCCTCCCCATCTACTCTTTCCTTCCTTTCACTTCTCCTTTCTTCCTTATTTATCAAATATTTATTGAGCATGCACTATATGCCTGACACAGTGCATATACCATGATGACTAAGAAAGACAGGGTTCCTGCCTCCAAGGAGGTCATGGTCCAGTGGGGAAGAGTATAATGAAAACTGTGACAAGAGAAGCACATGGAGGTTCAGGAACATATGCCTAGAAACCCAATTTAGCCAACGAGTCTGCCTGGGAAAGAAATAGTCAATCTGAGACCTTAAGGATAAGTAAGAGTCAACTAAATAAAAAGGGAATAATGAGTCTTAAATGAGAAGAAAGTATCATGGTGCAAGCCTTGGATGTGAGAGAAAGCGTATCAAGGAACGGAAGAAATCTCAGTATGGCAGGAGCAATGAGAGAAAGAGCAGATGAGGCTGGCAACAATAGCAGGGGCCAGATCATGGAGGCATACAGGCCATGCAGCAGAGGCAGTTACTGAAGGATTCTAAGCAAGGAAGTGACATGATTAGATTTGCATTTCGGTGTGACCATTCTGCCGCAACGTAAAGGGCTTGGGTGTGGGGGGTAGGAGGGTAGTAAGACTAGAGGCAGAAAGAACAGTTAGGAGGCTGCTGCAATATTTATTTCAATTTTCCCTCTCCCAACAGATACTTGGGTTAACTCATGCTCTCCAGAAATCATCACCACCATTGATCCCATATTTAACACTCAAACCACAACGCACACAATAGAATTTACTGTCAGTGACAGTACATATTCAGCATCATCCCCTTACTCCTCAACACCTGCTCGTGCTATTCCTCCTGCTCGGGCTTCCACTTCTACTCCACGGAGAAAAAAATTGATTTGCATCACAGAAGATTTTATAGAAACTAGCACTGTGTCTACAGAAACTGAATCATATATTGAAAATACGGCAGCATTCAAAAATGAGGCTGCTGGATTTGGAGGTAAATGCTTTCTGTGTCTGTGTTATGTGTGTGTGTGTGTTTATGTATAACGGACAATGTATAGAATCCAGCCTGCCTCCAGATTGGGCACTCAGGACCTGCCAAATACAAATAAAAGCTTAGCACAAACTCAACTTTCATAAAGTCATAGAACTTGATAACTATAAAGAACCTTAGTGATTAATCTAAAAATTGTGAGTATAAGATTTTCACTGTTGAAAACTCAAAGACTTTTAAAAATAAATTACTATGTACAAGTTCTTTTAAATATATATACCTTAAATGCCTACGACTGGAAAGGATTTTTTTTTTCCTATTGAAAAGTAAAGGTCTTGCCGTTAATTAGCTCCAGACTTAATCATCTCAAGCCCACAGAGAAAAAATGAGCTCTATCTGACATATTGACTCCTATAGAATAGAGAGAACATGAGACGCAAGGCCTAGGATTCTATAAGCAGATGAATTGTTAAATGGTCAGGAGTTCAGATCCCCATACCAGTACCGGCCAGCTGCCAGAAAAAAAAAAAGATGAATGGTTAAATGAGCAGTACATACAATGCATAAGTGAAGGACCAACAGACCATGTCTCTGTGTCCTCCAGGTGTCCCGACGGCCCTGCTGGTGCTTGCCCTTCTCTTCTTTGGTGCTGCAGCTGGTCTAGCCGTTTGCTACGTCAAAAGGTGGGGTTTGGGGCACACCTTTGTCACCTCCCTATCTTGTGTTTTTCCAGGGTTGTTATTGGCATTTTATGGGTCAAAATGGAGATGGCAGTCCTCTTATACTGTAAATTTTCTCCCGCATCTCACCTCTCCTCCCTACCCCCCAATCTTTCCTACTATTTCAGCACATAACTGTCACCCAGCCTTTAGGTATCAGTCAATGGCTATCCCTTTGAAAATCAAGAAATACAAAGAAAAGATTGAGATCTGGGAAAAATTTATATACCTTATTTGATTTTTAGTTCTTTGTTTTTGGTGGAAGAGCTATGAGGTCAGTCTAAAGTTTGGCCTGTAAACATAGTCCCATTTAAATGAATCCATTAAGGTGGAGATGGGTTAATGTATTTGAGCACGTATGTGTTAGCATCACTCTGAAATAAAGGTACCCAGAGTACTGTGCCAATATGTGCCATCGCAGACAAAGCATTATCTATTGTTATGTGTGTTACATAGAAGTCCCTCACTTTAATTTTATGTTTGTGCCTAAAGGTATGTGAAGGCCTTCCCTTTTATGAACAAGGATAAGCAGAAGGAAATGATTGAAACCAAAGTAGTGAAGGAGGAGAAGGTTGATGATAGCAACTGTAACGAGGAATCAAAGAAAACTGATAAAAACTCAGAAGAGCCCAAGAGTCCAAACAAAACTACAGTGCGATGCCTGGAAGCTGAAGTTTAGATGAAAAAAGAAATGAGAAGACACACCTGAGGCTGGTTTCTTTTCTGATGAATATCCTGGCCCCAGCTGGGGAAACTAAAAGGGCCAAAGAACCAAAGTCCACCCTTGCTTCCTAACTAGAATCAGTTCAGGGCCGCCTTTGGACTAAGGAGTTCACCAAAGGTAGCTCCCTTCTTCCTACTGCAATCCTTTCTGGATCCTATCCTCCTACCACCAAAGCTTCCCACAGCCTTTCTAGCCTGGCTACATCCTAATAACATCCCAGTGGAAAAAAGGAGCTTTGCAAAGTACAAGGACCTAAAACAGCTAATTAGTAAAAAGGCCTTCATGGCTCAGTCTAGGTGAGTTGAGAGCCAAAGGGTCACTGAGACCAAGGCCTTCTCTGCTGTTTCCACAACCCAGATACTTTCTTCAGCTCTGAAAGGGAAACACTTATACCACCTGGCATGTTCTTCTGAGCCAGGCAAGAGCAAAAGGAGGGAAAATTCCAGCAACTGAAAGCCATGTGAGATTGCCGTGACTTGAGACCTAATCTCTGTAAAATCAAAATAAATAGAGAAATAGAATGAGGCTGAGCACACTGACAGCACATTGTCAGCAGGCACTATAAACACAGACAGGGGCAAAGTATTCTTCTCTGACTCAGTTGGGTTCGAATTACTTTTTAGAACATATATATACTTTCTTTTCTTTTTACTGCTGCTATTTTCTCTCGAAGAATATACTTTTACAAGAAAACAAAAAAAAATACTCTTACAAATTTCTGTTTTTAGCTGAGTTAGAGAAATTATTACTGAGGAAAATTACTGTGTAAAAAAGTAATAAAATTCAAGAAACATTTGCTGAATATCTACTATATGTCAGGTGCTGTGCAAGATATTACATTCTGTAATTCATCAAAAAATTTCATATAGTAGAATTCTGTCTGAAGCTAATTTTTTTCGGTTTTGTTATCCCTAGCTTACATACTTCCAAACTAATATTTTTTTACTGAAACTAATCATTCACTCATTTTTTCTAATATGGCAACCATTAAAACCTTAATTTATTATTAACATAACTAAGAAGTGCGTTATTACCTCTACACAGCAAAGCACGTTTTTTAAAAGCCATTAACAAATGTATCACTAGCTCTCCTTCTTCCAGCAAGAAGAGCCCGAGAGGTGGAGAAATATTTGTGCCCCCGCAAAATTAAAACATTTAGAAAATCTCTTTGCTCTCTTACTTACATAGATGCATTATACTTTTCATGCAAAATTAAAGAACCAAATCATAACCTGTAGTTTGCAAAAAGGAAAAGGGACAACTTTGGTTGTTAAAATACAAACATGTAAACCCACGTTACCATGGGTTTACATACATTACCATGTGGGACTGTCGTTGCTTCAAATGGTATTATTTTATTTTATTTTATTTATTATTTATTTATTTATTTATTTATTGTCTTTTTTTGTGACTGGCCGCGCTCAGCCAGTGAGTGCACTGGCCATCCCTATATAGGATCCAAACCCGCGGCGGGAGCGCTTCTGCGCTCCCAGCGCTGCACTCTCCCGAGTGTGCCACAGTGCCGCAAATGGTATTATTTTAAGTTGGCCAAGTACGCACACATTAAATAGACCTTTACCTCGGAATCAGGTCCTTCATTCCAATCCATTTCACAGTTCACAGGGGAGCTGGAGATTCAGGATAGCTGATTTGTCCTGTTTCCCTAGCTTACTCTCTCCCACTCTCCAGTCTTCCCCCCTGAGACTGTCAGTTCCCTTCTTCCCCTTACCAGTAACCCCACAGCTCCATGGTCCTTTCAGCTCAAAGACCATAAATACAGGCATAGTTTTTTTTTTTTGGCCTACAATTAATTGTTGGTCTGCAATAATTTTGGTTAGTCAAGAACTAAAAATCAAGAGATCTCACATGTTTACATTTCTAGGTGCTCTTGAAAAATGGGAAGATCTGGAGATGGAGAACCCATATTCTCTCAGAGCAATAATTAGCTGATTGAGAGTAGTGGCCGTCCCCTTCAAGTGGGCTGTGTGCTCTCCCTTTCACCACAGTCCATCTCCCTCTCTACTGCACCCTCATGCCAAAGTAAAGGTGCCATTTCCTGTGGATCTTGTAATACTTTTGCCTTTTTTCCACACCCAGCCCATGTCACTCGTTTACATCATTTGCCTGGCCACTTCGGTCTCTGTGTTTGAAACTCTGGTTTGTCAGTCCCTAAGCTTTATCAGCTTCATCTAGTTCCCAGGGAGCGAAGAAGAAAAAAGGGAAAGAGCTTAAGTAGTGGTCCTCCTTTTATGTGTGTTAGCTGAAAAATAATCAGATCTTCCACACTACATCTCCCATCTTGCGGGCATATACTACAGACTAGGAGACTACCACCTTCTGTTATTTTAGACAGGCGTTTGCCCTACCTAGGAGGACGAAAGGGAGAAAAAACCTCACTCAGCCACATATAATCACTCAGTAGCCCAAATGTCATGTGCAAACATACCGATGAAAATGTAACTTCCATCATTATGCAAGGCAGAAAGTGAGGGAAAAAAGAGGGAGGAAGGAAACTAATATTTATTGAGCACCTAAGCGACAGTCATTTCACATGTTGTCCCATTTAATCTCCACACCTTCCCTGAGAGGTAAGGATTATTACTGTCATTTTTTATTAATGAGAAAACTGGATTTTTAGAGGAGTTAAATCACTTTCTGAGGTCACAGGTCTAGTGAAATGGTAAAGGTAGAATTCAATCCCAGGTCAGACTGACTAAAAAGCCCATGCTTCTTTCCCTACACCACCATGCTTCTCTTGTAAATTACAAGATAGGGATGTAAACTATTCTGGTATGCAAGCTTGAAATCAGTCACTTGCCAAAGCAACAGAGATCTAATAAAGAAAGCAATTCAGGACTCCTGGGTCAGCTTCAGGGAATCTTTCTTAAATCCCTTGGCAATGACAAGGAAAAGAGAGAACCACCAAAGAACTTTGAGAACTGCTCCCTCATTGATGCAGACATCAGCTTCAACAAAGGCCTACCTGGTCCGGCTCATACAGTCAGAAAATGTAAGGCTCTGAAAGATCCAAGATAAGCTCCTCTAAACTCTTTTTTTACAGAGTTAAAAAAAAAAATCTCAATGTCACATCTAGCTGGAGATAGAACCTTGACTAGAAGTCTCCTTCTTCCTAGTCAAGTTCTCTTTATTCTCCACTGAACAAACAGAAATTGGCAGGATACAAGGGACCCCCCAGTTCAGAACTGCAATCCAGCTCACCAAAGCCAGTCTTCAAAAGAGGCAGGTAGAGAGCCGTATGATGACATTTCTAGTGGTACAGAGGATCTCCCTGTCCAGAAATCCCCCTCCTTCATGGCTGTCTCCCAGGCTCAAACATAATAGATCCATCCTGAATTCCATGCAAAACTGCATGTTTTTTATAAAGGCCAGGCCACTACCGTAAGGCTCTGAAAGATCCAAGATAAGCTCCTCTAAACTCTTTTTTTACAGAGTTAAAAAAAAAAATCTCAATGTCACATCTAGCTGGAGATAGAACCTTGACTAGAAGTCTCCTTCTTCCTAGTCAAGTTCTCTTTATTCTCCACTGAACAAACAGAAATTGGCAGGATACAAGGGACCCCCCAGTTCAGAGCTGCAATCCAGCTCACCAAAGCCAGTCTTCAAAAGAGGCAGGTAGAGAGCCGTATGATGACATTTCTAGTGGTACAGAGGATCTCCCTGTCCAGAAATCCCCCTCCTTCATGGCTGTCTCCCAGGCTCAAACATAATAGATCCATCCTGAATTCCATACAAAACTGCATGTTTTTTATAAAGGCCAGGCCACTACCGATTATTAACATTGCAGGGGCGCGCCTGGTGTCCTCCCGCAGACCCAGAAGGAGAAGGAGCCAACAGGATTACCCCCAGTGTTGGGACCGAGGGATCTCGGGGAAAAGTGAGCCTGCTGCCCGCCAACCCAGCCCTGTGAAAGAGACACTCACACGCGGCAGGGGTTCTGTCAGGGCAGTTCCACTTTATTGCCATTACACTGCAATTTATATAAGCAAGCAAGTAGGGGCTTTCCATGAAGTAACCCATCAATTAAAGGATCACGCGGGCATGTACTTTGTACTAACATGTTGAGCATAGTGATCACACAGGGTTCACGAGTGCGAAAATACTGGAGGACCAATAAAAACCTTTTGGAGCTATCTTGGGTTACACCTCCCCTACTTCCCGTGGGCGCCATGTTCATCCTCCACCCATAGGCACCATGTGGCTCACAGATAATGTTTGCTCCTAAAAATGGGCCCAACATAACATGACAATGTGGGTCCAATAAAAACAAGATGATTTCTAAGGGTAGAAAGCTGGAGTAAAGCAAATGATTCAAGACCCAGAACAGGGCTTGCTCACATTTGGAGTCTATAAATGTCCATTGACTTGAACAGAATTGAATCATAATGATTTCCAGACCAAAGGATCCTACCTTTTATTGCTCTTCTCTACACCTTCGGCTAGTGACCAAAGCAAAATCAATTGCTCTAAGGAAGCACAGGCTTGTGAAGACGATAGTAATAATAGCACGCAAATAATAAATTCTTACTAAGGAATGGGAGAGTCACTCACACCAAAAAGAAAATGTTCTAAGCCTCCAAACATGAAGAAAAACAATTATTTGTCAGTTCAATATTACAGTTAAAAGTAAATAAAATTTAGGTGTTTACCCCCATAATAGTCTATATGTGAGGTCAGGTTTGACCTAAGAGCATTTTAATAATACTAAAATCAGATGGGAGTACTCTCCTCTCAGTATGTTCCCCATGAAATGCCTCAATTTTCGAACAATGCTGATGTAATTAAAGTGTCCCCCTTTCTTATATAGAAGACAGTTCACTTTTTTTTAGATACACTTTTTTATTTCAGAATAGTTTTAAATTTACAAAAATAATTGTGAGGATAGTACAAAGAGTTCCCATACACTCTTTACCCAGTTTTCCCTACTATTGACATCTTATACTACTATAGTACCTTTGTCACAATTAATGAACCAATATTGATATGTTACTATTAACTGAAGTCCATACTTCATCCTGATTTCCTTAGTTTTTACCTAATATCATTTTACTGTTCCAGTATCTCATCCACGATACCACCTTACATATAGTCATCATGTGTCCTTAGGCTCTTCTTGGTTGTAACAGTTTCTCCGACTTTCCTTGTTCTTGATAACTTAGTCAGTTTTGAGTAGTTGTGGTCAGATATTATGCAGAATGTCCCTCAACTGGGATTTCTCTGATGTTTTTTCATGATTACAGTGAGGTTGTGTGTTTTGGGAAAGAAAACCACGTACCATTTTGATCACATCATATCAAGCGTACCTATCAACATGACTGATCACAGTTGAGGTTAACCTTGAGCACCTGGCTGATGAAATGACCGTCAGGTTTCTCCACGGCAAAGTTACTTTTTTCCCCTCTTTCTGTACTGTATTATTAGGAAAGAAGTCACTATGCATAGCCCACACTTAAACAGAGGGGAGCCTATGCTCTGCCTCATTGAGGGCAGAATATCTACATAAATTTTTTGGAATTTCCTGGCACAGGTGATTGATCTATTCTCCCTTATTTATTTAATCATTTATTTATATCAGTACGGGCTCAAGAATATTTATTTTCTACTTCAGGCTATAATCCAATACTATTTTTATTTTGTGGCTCAATTTGTTCTGATGTTGACAATTGGGAGCTCTTTCAGTTTTGCTCCCGTGTCCCTTTAACACACTCTCACTGCGGTATTTTTGTGGGGCAATTCCTTACTTTCTGGCACTATAAAATGCTCCAGACTGACTCATCTGGTATATATTTGGTGGTTTTTTAGGAAGCAATACTCCCAAGACAGCCCATTGCATTTTGTGGCTGCAGCCTAGGGTGTCATGGCAGTAGGGAGAGATGGAGAAAAATAAGGCTGGGAAGGTATGCAAGTGACAAATTCTGTGGCATGTTCATTCCTCAGCTAAATACTTTCTCTGTTGGTCGCAGAAAAGCATCACTGCATTATGATTAT